GCGGCTCCGTCGGTGAGGCCGTGCGCCGCCACCGTGATGGACCTGGCGTACCCGGGCCAGGAGTCTGGAAACGTTGGCAACAGCATCGAGGGATGGAAGGAGGTCCTGCCGAGGAGGAGGACCCGATGAGGATGCCGCGATGAGGGATCAGACACGTCCGCGTCGATGTCCAACGAGGGAGTCCCGGCGATTAAGACCCCGATCAGGAAGAAAGGCAAGCCCCTGGGATTGCAAAATGGTAGAAAGACCACTCCGAACTCAGGGGAGACGGCCGCGAAAAGGGCCGCGGACGCGCTCGCGAAATTTTGGCTGTGCGCAAAACACCTGCACTGGGGCAGCTGGCGCTCGAAGAAGAGGGTCTGACGCTATGCCTGACGGCCAGACCCAGTAATGAGATATTGGACCGGTTTTTGCGCGCATGCGCGAGAAATGCAAGAGCGTACGCAGCGTATGTATTTAGTGGCGCCACTAGGTGGCTTTATTATATATTTTGCTTGCAGTTATTATAGTACCTTTCCTTTCCATCTGCTCCTCAAATATGAAAATATGTATATAATGTAATCTTATGCAACCTATACATTCATATTTCACAACCAAATTATAAAAATTTTTGAAAAATAATGAGGGGTGATTGAAGTACCCTATTTTATTGAAACTTGTACTTTACTGAGACTAAAATTACCGCGCATGCGCGCAAGCCAGTCCAATATCTCATCACTGGCCAGACCCATCGAAGGGAGCCGGCCCGTGCCAGACGTCACGAATGTCGCTAGGGAGGAGCGACACCTTACCGGATGTGACTTGAACGCCCAGATGGTCAACAAGGCGGAAAAGATCAGGATGCTTGCCCGTAAGTCAACCAACCTGAAAGGCACATACGTCCGGAAGTTCAGGGATATCCATCGTAATAGAGGCCTACGCCACGGAGATGGGGAAGAGGCAACTGAACCCTCCATACGTGGAAGAGGAGACGCGCGAACTGCGCAAGGTCCTCCGTGCTGAGATGGAGAAGATCTCAGAGCACTGCAGCGGAGGCTAGAGCAAGCGCGGACCGAGTTGGGACGGAGCCCCACTCCACTGTGCCCCCTCCCACATTTTTAATGTTTCTTTTTGTTTATTTTATAGTTCATTGTTACTTTCTGTTTTTTATACTCATCATAATTGTGTTACAAATAAAATTATTATAAATTACCTCAAAAATCCTGTTTTAATTAGACGAGTCACCCGTTTACGAGTGACGAGGCCCGTGTGTAAGCATAGCCGTCACCCATATCTGGGTGACGTAGCGTTCAACGTGTTAAAGTATGTTGGAAAGTTTATTTTTCGTGATTCAAACTCCATTCTCGTAACAAGGGCCTAGGTACAGTAACAAAGGTTCGCTCGACTCCAACGGTATAGTCCAGGATGTTACAGTTAAGACAGCAACTGGCATACTCGATCGGAGTACGACGAAACTCACATCACCGAAGACATCTCTGGCGAACTTGGTCACACTCTGAATTACTAATAATCTCACCACGTCAACAACCATTAGTCATCGGCCACTACTTTCAAGTAACATTGTCAATAGTCAGTCATAAGCGAACTCACGAAACCAAAAAGTTCCCTCTACAAAACTTCTATCTATATATAAGGGCCCGTGGACTACGAATAAAGATCATTCCAAAGTAAAAGTTTAGGTACATAAAACCTCTGACCGAATTTCCTGTCTACGAACTTAGTTTCGCGTATGGAATACCTTCTCGTTAAAAATCGTGTTCGGTCCTCGTCACAGTGGCAACGTCGGCCCAGCATCCGCAGACAGAGCTGGACTGTCATAGTTACACTACTTTGGAAGACATTCGTTTATTATGATATTCACATATACATATACAAGGTGCGATCATTAAGTTCCGCGACTGGTCCTGTACATGCAAATAAAGTCACCTGTTTCAAATTTGGCTACTATCCCCATCAAAGTACACCCCTTGGGCAGCTATACACCGATCCCAGCACCTCTGTCATTTTTGGAAAGCTTCCTACAAGTCTTCTTGTCGAAGCGTATCAAGCACCTGCTGCGATTCACGTTGAATCTCGTCCACCGTATCAAATCGGCGATCCTTGAGCTTTAATTTGATTTTGAGAAACAAAAAGAAATCACAGGATTCCAAATATGGTGAATACGGAGGTTGAGGAAGAACGACCATGTTCCAATTTTTTTTTTGTATCCCTTTGTTCCAATTTAGAGTCCATCGTGATTTTGCAAAGGAGAGCGTGCGTATGCTACTATAAACTTGTATAAACACAGGATTCAATGAAGATATCGCTTCCAAACTTCGTGTCATATGTCTCGAAAATTGTTATTCATGTGTCCTGCGAGCGCAAGTCAATCGTGTGATCCGTTTGGTCAGAGCAGACACAATCCCGGAACTTAATGATCGCACCTCGTATCTATATTTCACGTTTACTTTTTTTGTACATAAACATATTTACTCTTAGCATAGACATAAGGACACTTAACACACTTAGCACATTTAAGAGTTGATCGGCAGCTTCTCAACGGGAGGAAGATATTTTGCAGCATAAATCAGTTTCTTTTTTTTTAACAGCATCTTTGGAAAACAAAACAAGAGATTTACAATAGAGTTCGCTACGGTCACGAAAGCAGCTAGCAATTTATGCACAGAAATAACATTTGGCCTGCACATTGCTAGCACGTTTATGACATGCTAGTACCAGGGCTGTTTTTGATAGTCATTTTATATTTTTAAATTTACGATTTGTATCTCCAAGTTCCTTCGACGATCTCAATAGTTAATACTATGCCGTCCAGCGGCACTACAGTAGTGTCATGCGGGAAATAGCGGCCAATGGCCGGCGACACCACAGTGATGTCATGCGCGAAATAACGGTCAACTAATACTTATTTCCGAAACGAATAAACGAAAACGAAGAATCTGCCATGTATGTTCTGTTGAGTCGAATCCCCCAAAAAAAGGGGGAATACGTAGCCCGATATTGCGTCGCATAAACAGGCGCGTGTTGTTGATCGAGAACACGTGCGTTTCGGATGGTCACGTCTATAGTGTAACGAGCCGATAAGGGCAGATTAGATCATGGACACTGAATCCTCCCGTGATTCAGTTCCATGAGTAATCCGGCAAACCCTGGACTCTGGAGTCATCCCTGGAGTCATTAGTTTGTCTCAAGTGCGATTATCATTTAGTACTCATTGCGCTCTACGATTAACGGATCAGTCGCACCCTTTCACGCGTCAATTAAAGTTTAGTATCATTTATCGAAAATAAAGAGTGTCGAGTCACGGGAAACGCGCGGGAATTCCCGACGCGACGTCATAGCGTCTCGCCGTCTCTCTCGAACCTTCGCGAAGGTCTCGCGCGGTCTTGTCAACAGCACGTTGTCTTTCGGCACGTAAAATTCCCTTTTCTAAGCAAGCCCCGCGCAGCAACTTATTATTACAGCCCAGCGCCTCTTTTAAACACTCAATGTTTAAATAGACATATAAAGCTTTAATTTCGCAAATACCATAGTGTCCGAATATTAAATCGAGTAACTGTATATGTATTTATATATTCGCTAAAGAAATTGTTAATTATAACCTTCTTTTTCATCATTATTTGAATAAACCTAATTAACGAAAGGTATTAACCTGTAGATTTCACCACGATCCCACATTCACAAAAGCCGCTCTTTGCCTCGTAAGTGCTGTAAACACCTGAACTTAGTCCCAGGAACGTTATACCATAAAGTCATAAAAATCTTTACAGTCTATACAATTTTACGCAATGCAAACAATTTCACGTCATCTTAATTCAATAATCCGGAACATTTTACATTTCACAAATAATCTTGTACTTTTAGTTTAAGTGTTTAAACATTAAATTGTTATTTTAAAATTATTCAATGTCAACGATTCAGTAAGAACCAACCCACTCTATCACCGTAAAATGCTATAAAGTCACGCTTTCGAAATTTTTTTAATTTTTGTTCGTGCGCATAACATGTAGTACTCACATCAGTAAATTCATGTGTCAACGATTTTATTATACGTATAGGGTGGGGCATTTATATTGACGCGGATATATTCTTTAACATATTCGCAACGGGGCCTGTATTTAGTGGTCCTGCCGTGGGACGGCGCTGTTGTTCGCACTTTCTCCTACCTGGCGGCGTTGATTTGAAATTAATGTGCTACGTGTTTCCACATTGTCCATCTTTTGACATAAAACGATCAAAAGCTTTTGTTTCTATCGGAACTATACCCCATTGTTAGTAATCCACACAGCATGATAAAATTAATATTTTGCTATAATAATTTATGTAATATTTATGTTCTAAGGTAATGTTCTATACGTAAAGGAACGCTTCCTTTAATTTAAATTTGGCGCGCTATGCATGCTCCACGCGCCACTCTGTTATGACTTCAATATGTCATACCAACACGATATTGATGAGAAGATCGATTATCGAGAGGGAACGAGATAGAGAGAGAGACGGATAGTAACCAGCAGTAGAAGAAGCACATGTGAAATTTCGTCTCGAGATAGACGGAACTCCTGTTTTGAAGATGGATTCTCAATCTACTGAAAAACCAATGGATTCTGGATCTGACGTGAAAACGTCAGTATCTGTCAAGAAGAAACGCCCTGACCGCGCCTCGCGTAAAAGAACGACTGAAGCGTTCCGCGAAAGGGTCGGAGTTAAACAGCAACAAGAACGTCGACAGAAAATTTTTCGAAAATATGACTTGTTGAACGCTGATGCGCTTGAGCTCGAGAGGACACTTACCAACATGTCCCTCACCGTGCAATCGTATGCGGTCCTTTTGATCGTGTCTACATGGGGAGTCAGGTTCGCCGCTACTATTGAATACTCCAGGATGAGGACTACCTGGAACCTTCGGGCAATAGTAGAAATATGTACTATTCATCAGTACTACCGCGTCTGCTTGTATCTTTTCTTTTTCTTTTTGTTTTAGGAAGACAGAAATCCAATTACGGACACCTGGGAAGATAGCCCAG